CTTAACCACCCCAGGTGATTTGTGTGCTGAGTGAAGTCTGAGAAGAGCTGCCTTAAGTGACAGGGGTCCAAATGAGATCACCCTCTAAGTTCATGCCCAGCTCTAAGATACAATGTTCTCCAAGATTCTCTCACTTCCAAAGGAAGAGGGAATGATGGCTGCAGTCATCAGGTCACTGAAGGAGCCTGTCCTAAGAAACAAGGTAGAGAGAAACTTGGCAGAAGATCTTGACATCTCACGTCTCAGCTCCGAAACTTTCCCTGCCACAACTGCCCTGTTGCATGAAGCTCTCTTGGAGATTCTCAACCTTAGCACCAGCGACATCAGGGGTCAGGTGAGTCTTCATGGTGGCGATTGTATGAACTGTAGGACATTGAGCGATTTTCCTGGCCTCTACCCAGCAGATGCCAGTAGCTGTTCCCCGAGTTGTGACAACTCAAAAATGTCTCCAGACATCACCAAGTGTTCAGGTGGAGTGATTACAATTTCCCCTTTCCTTGTTCTAATTGCACAGAAGGAACATTGTGGTTTACAAAGTGTGGGGAAAGGGACCTCTCCTTTTGCTGTTTTATAGGTTTTTTTTTTTTTTTGTAAAACTAGCTGAAAATCCCTATTGTCAAGCAAAGACTGAGAACCCCCTGCCTGTCTTGGTGCATCTGCGTGGCTGTGGAGGAAAGCGTCCCCTCAGCTTTTAAGCAGAGAGCAGTACTCTAAGAAAAGCAGGTTCTTTTGCTTCTTTTTGAGAATCCAATGGTGAACCCAAGAAGATTTTCTCTGGGTCTAAGTCTGATGCCAATTAAGAATTTTGATACAATTAACTTCATTTTCTCAGGTCTGGGTAATCACCCCTGTCTTCCCTCTTCAGTTACCCCACTCCCCCCATACATGCAAGCAGGGAGAGAAATCACTCTTGTCATTAGAAAGAATACCAGCTGATAGCCAGGCACAGTGGTGCATGCCTTTAATCCCAGAGACTTGGGAGGCTGAGACAGGAGGTTTGCAAATTCAAGGCCAGCCTCAGCAACTTAGCAAGACCCTGTCTCAAAATGAGCAATAAAAAGGGCTGGGGATGTAACTCAGTGGTAAAGCAGCCCTAGGTTAAATCCCAAATACCAAACCAAACCAAACCAAAAAAAAAAAAAAAAAAAACCCAAACAAAGAACAGCTGCTTCCTTGAGTCAACTTTGAAAAATGTTGTCTTTATTGGAAGCTTAGAGGTAACCAAACTATAGCACATGGCTGAATTCAGTTTACCACTTGTTATTGTAGGAGAAGCTTTTTGGAAAACAGCCACACCCAACTGTTTATGTATGTCTAGGGCTATTTGTTTTTGTCTATGGCTGCTTTTGCACTAAAATGGCACACATAAGTAATTGCAACAAACATCTGGCCTGCAAAACCTAAAATATTTACCATCAGGCCCTGTAAGGAAAAAGTTTGCTGGCCCCTGACTTAGAGTAAATTAGGGTCACCAGACCATTGGATAGCTACCAAGAGTAATTTAACTTTCTTACCAGTGGAAAATATGAATAAATGCTTTCAAAACAAAAGCAAGGAGAGACATGTATGTGTTTTAAAAGATGGATTTGTTAAAATGCCTTTTCATCCTCTAAGTATGCAAGAAATATCAGTCTTTACTTAGATATTGAGAGAGGTATTAATGGCCTCTGCTAAATTTAAATGTTTTCTGTGAGGGAAAATGGGCCATTTGAGTAACTTTGTGTCATTTACAAATATTTTAGCATTTACTTCTGTTTATTAATCTCAATAGTCCTGTGAAGAAAATTGATTATACCCATTATTCAGAAGGTGATACTGAGGCCCAGAAAGGTTAAAGCACAGGCAAATCATTTACCTATGGAGATTTTACAAAATATTGATGTCCTGGAGCCATACCCTGAGATTTTGATTAAGTAAATCTTAGGTGGGGTCTGCTGTCAACTTTATAAAAGGTAGATGTGTGATTCTGATGTGGGCTCAACATTGAGAACCTCTGGGCTCCTTGGAGATGCCCAAGTTGATATAGCTAGGAGGTGGTCTGCTTGGAGGAAACTCAAGGCTCTTGGTGACTTGCAAATTCAGGAACATTTTTCTTCCAAATGACAACCCACGTGAGCTCTAACATTCTCTCAGTCCAACTTGTTGGTCTAACCTTGTGGTTCTCCAAGCATGGTCCTTGGACTAGCAACATCAGGATCACTGGGAAATTGATTAGAAATACAAATTCTCTGCTCTACCCTGTATCCAGTGAGTCAGCAAGTGCAGGGGCTGGGCCTATCCATCTGTGTTTTAACAAGCCCTCCATCTGACTCTGAGGCAGCTACAGCTTGAGACCCACAGGCCTATGGAAGTGGGATAGGGGATAGATGAGTTTTCATGGCAATAATGTGCTAAAACCAGCACACATGCACACACACACACACACATGCTGTGCACACTTGCACACACACACCTGGAAAAGACCCTGCCTCTGGGAAATTAGTACTAGGTGTGGAGGGGCAGAATGAGTGTGAGAAGTAATGGGAAAAGGAAGAGTCCACAGGTGTCTGGGAAAGTATGAAGAAGCCACGGCAGCACAGAAGAAAATGGACCTCACCAGCATCCCAATATGAGCATCTGCAAACTTAATTTGCCCATGGGCAGCCCTGGAGTTGTTAGCGGAAATTTGTGCATTCCTTCACTGTGCTGGCAAGTCAGAGGGGTTTGTTGTTGTTGTTTGTTTGGCTATTTCATTTTTTGCTTTTAAAAGTTTTTTGGTTTTTTTTTTTTTCTGAATCAAGCACTTTGTAGAGATGAACATTCTTGTGTGATTAAATGAGCCCCCTTCTGCTTAGAGCCAGTCACATTCTTCGCTTTGATTTGATCCCAGGTGCTCCTTTTTAATTGCATTTCGTATTCAACTGTGTAGCCATCCCCTTCCAGGAGAGGGCTGGCCCCCTAATCACCACAGTTCTTTTGCCCCTGCAGCTGGGACTTCAAAGGCCCCAGAAGTCATATTGTAATGTGAGCTCCAAATTGTCCCTGAGAAGGAACCCAGACAGGCATCCTCAGTCAAGACTCATCAAGGGGAAGGGATACCTCAGTGTGGCATGGGGTGAAAGAATGCAGCCTTATCCTCAGTCCCTCTCGGAGCCTCCCCCCCCCCCCAAAGTACCACCATTCCTAGTCTGGAAACCGCAGTAAGATATATGTAATTCAAGGCTGCCCAACAGTTTCCCAGAGACAGGGGGACAGACATGTATGCCCAGGAAAAAATGTTTGCTTGAAGCAAAGGTTCACAGCGCCAGCTGCCAATGGGAGAAGAAAAATAGAGAGGAGGACGCCCACAGGCTGATATGGGAAAGTATAAACAACCGTTCCAGGCTCTGCTGAAAGGCTCGTTAGGTGAGATCACATCATCTGATTTGGGTGTTTTTTTTTTATATATATAATTACTGGACCTATAGACTGTAACTGCAAAGCACATCCTGTTTCTAGAATGGGTGGGACCATGTGAGCTCATGACAGTTTCAAGTCGGCATTTTGACATTCAAGTTGGACTCCAAGAGTTAACAAGAGCAGGCCCTGCTTTAAATAGGAGTTTAATTTTAACTTCCAAAGCACGGTCCCTGGAAGCAGATGGGGTAACTTGTGTCTCTATTTTCTTTATTTAGCATGGAGTTAATATAGAATATTGATTCCTAATGTGGGAATTCTGTGGGTGAAAAACTGGGGTTAGCTTTCTTGGTCAAATCCACAAATTTCTCAAAGTCAGGGAACTATGTCTCCATGATCTTTCTTTAGTGTAAGTTCTAGTTTCTTGAATATTGAGGACAATCAATGCATATTTTGAAGAATAGATAAATGCTGAAAGCCTACTCTTTAGCAGTGACCTTTTAGAGTAAATTAGGAAAGTCATCCCAGCAGAGTTTTCTGGAGATGTAGAGCATTTCCCCCCCAAAAGCCCATCTACCATTGTGTAAAATGTCACATAAAACACTAGATGTCAAAAGAAAATGGCAATCGGCTTGCTGCTGCATGGCCTGAGAGGGGCTGCTTAGTTTAGAGACCCTGAACTTCCACAAAGTGAATATGAAAGTGGAGTCTGAAGACCGTCCGTGCCCTGGCATATCTTTGATCAAACTGAACCTGCAAAGAAGTGTGGCAGGCTCTAAATGCCACAGAGACTAACTGCTCAGGAAATCCACGCCAGTGACTTCACTGAACATGTCACATCAAAGGACAGAAATGCCCCACTGGCTGGAAAGTTCTTTTGGTGTTCAATGTTGAGAGAGAATAGAAATGAGATTAAATTTCAGTATTTCTGGATTTGGTTAATAGATTCTCTCTTTCAAATATAAGAACTTTAACTGAATCTGTTGCTTTAGTAGAAAAAGATCCAAAAGGTGCATCTAATAATAAGGTCTGAAAGGGAATAAAAATGTAGCTGTAGATAGAGCATCATAATTTTAGAGAAGTTTTTTAAAAATTATTTTCAGCTACCACAGTGAAGATGGCTGCAATTCAGTGCACACACTTCCAAAGGGAGACTCCAGGTTCATGGGAAAATCCAAGGATACTATTTGCAATGTGATTGAAAGACTTAAGCCCACCTCAAAATATACTGCTCTGGAATACTGGCTATTTTTAATTAAAGTCACTTAGGAAACATCAGGTGCAGCCTGGGGATGTGGCTCAGTGTTAGAGAACTTGCCCTAGAAATGTGCAAGACTCTGGGATCCATCCCCAGTCCCCCCACCACATACATAAACACACAAAGAAAATGCCCCCAATCCCAGCAAGTCCAGGGGTACAGAAAGATCAATTTGATCTTCATTCTGTTTCTTAAAAGAAGGAGGTAGGGCTGGGGTTGTGGCTTAGTGGTAGAGCACTTGCCTGGCACATGTGAGGCACTAGGTTCCATTCTCAGTACCACATAGAAATAAATAAATAAATAAATAAAAGGTATTTTGACCCTCTACAACTAAAAGAGAAATTTTTTAAAAAAGAAGGAGGTAAAATTCCCATGTGAAAAATGTCCTTCTTATATGAAATGCAATAACCTTATTATCATCAATAATGTGAACTTGAAACTGAGAGAGCACTGTGCAGACCTTGTTATAGTAACTCTAATCTTTCAAGCCTCCCTACATAATTAGTTGCTTTTCACAAATCACTATTCTTTGTCCAATTCAGTATATAAGAGATTGACTCTTAACTGCTTTCCTTTATGAGGGTTCTTCATTCTTTATGAGGGCTCACGTGTCTCATAAAACTTGTATTAGATAAATTTGTATGCTTTTCTCCTCTGAATATATCTTATGTAAATTTAATTCTCAGGCACAGCCAGAACCCTAAGAGGATGAAGGTGGAATTTTGCTACATCGATAGCTCCTTTCTTTAGGATTCAAGGAGTCTAAAGCAAAATGTTAGAGAATGATATTGGAGGAATAAAAATACTAATTTGTGTTTTATAAAAAGGAAGAATATGGCTGGGTGCAGTGGCTCACACCTGTAATCCCAGCGGCTTGGGAGGTGGAGGCAGGAGGATCGCGAGTTCAAAGCCAGCCTCAGCAATTTAGCGAGGCGCTGAGCAACTCAGTGAGACCCTGTCTCTAATAAAATACAAAATAGGGCTAGGAATGTGGCTCAGTGGTGGAGTGCCCCTGAGTTCAATCCCTGGTACCTCCTCCCAAAAGGAAGAATATTATGTACTTTTGAATATTTCATGTCATTAACAAACCACTTAGACCCCGCTTTGCAGCTACTGATGCAGAGCTGCCTTGGTGGATATCAGCTCTTGTACCCTGCGATGGCCATGAAAGTTCATGGCAGCCTCATCTTGGACCCAGAAGAATCCATAATTAAGGCCCCAAAGGACTAAGATAGTGCAAACATTTAATTTATGTTCCCTTTAGTTGTCCTGGGCCAAAAGGTCAAGATGTCGTCTCCATGTTTTCTCCTTCATTCCAAGTGCCTGGCTGATTCTATCACCTCTCCTATGCTTGAGATAAAAAATGCCATTTCACTTTGGTTTGTTCCCAGCCACCTTGAGTCTTTTGTGTTTTGGAGGGAAGCAACTACAAGTTAAATCATTCTCTAGTCACTAACATCCATCAATTTTCACAATCAGGGTAGACAGATTTTTATTTGCTAAAACTCAGCTTCACCCACTTGGAACTAATGGTCTGAAAAAGCCAGATTGGGGACCATGTGTTGCCAAAGCAGAATTACTTTAGCTGGGATATGCCAGACAAGCGCTCTACCACTAAGCCACAACCCCAGCCCTATCTCCTGCTTTTAAGAAACAGACAGGTTCATATTATTCTGACAATCATCTTTATGTAGGCAAAGCCAGGTGAAACTTACCTGTTGAAGAGCTTTGCCTTTGGCATAGAATGGACGTGATTTTGAGTCTAAGCTCTGCTGCTTCCTACCTGTGTAATCTTCAGCAAATTACTTGACCTAAGATTTAGTTTTCTCATTTATAAAATTTGTTAATTCATCTATGCATACATACTTGTTGAGCATGAACTGGCATACATAGCATAAATGCTCACAAATATGATTGTGGCAGGGAAAGCTGATGCTTACCAAATCCATGTTCTCCCTCTCTTCTAGGCTCAGAGCTAGACTACATTTCCCAACTTTCCTTGCAGGTAAGTGTGGTCATGTACTAGTTTAGCCAATAGAATTTGAGTAGAGAGGAGGTTCATAAGCACCACGTGTGATCTTCCACTTTCTTTCTCTCTGCTGGATTAGAATGAAGATGGCCCAGGGTGACTATGGAAACCCTGTGTTGGAGATGGCAGTTCTGCTGTCAGCCTGAGCCTCTGAAGGACTGTGGAGGAGGACATGCTAGTGGTTTGTTTACCTGCCCAGTACTATCATGTGAGTAAGAAATAAAACTCTGTGGCAATGAGTCCTTTTCCATTTTGGGATCGGTTTGATAAAGCAAATAGTCTAATCAGACTAAGCAGTTATTACCATTATAAATTTGTATAAAGCTGCAATTTTATGAAGAAGTCAGCTTGTACCAGCTCACAAGAGCTAATGGTTAAATTTGCAGTAGTTTCATGAGCCATTCAATGTCGTATTCCTAGTTTAAAGGCAGCCATGATGGGAATGGTTATACCACAGATATTGCCAGATACTACAAACCAGACCCCCTTTTCCCCACTGGAACATTTATCAGCATACTACATACAGGGAATAGACCATTTTCCTTTTTCGTTGTTCCAAAGCTTAACAACCTAGCACATTTTATATTTGTGTGACCCAAAAAGTTTTTGTGGCTATGAATCAGGATTAAACTTGAATAAATTACGAGAGGAAACATAAAAGGATAAAAGCTAATAGTTAGGATTAAATGAAATGTGGAGAAGGGGGAAGAACAGTCTAGTCTTTGCCCTTCTAAAATAAGAATATCTTGGGCTAGGGATATATTTTTATGTCTTGATTCTCTTTAGAAATTTCAGGTCTTCAACCTCCTTTACCTCCCCTATACCTTGATTGGTTGTCACTGGTTTCTATCTGCAAGTGAGTGTCTTCTGAAGCACACTCATTCTCCCCTCACTCCCAAGCACTTCATAATGACAAGTGCTGGTAAGGTGTCTTCATGCTTCTATAATAGAGGCCCAAGACAGCTGGGCTCCCCAGATAGCAGACCTTGAGTTGAAGAGTCAAATGCAAATTATTTATCTGGAATGTGATGCCAGGAAATGGCCTGAAGGAATAGGAAAGAAGGGGAGCAGGGAAGGGGAGGCAATCAATGAAAGAGATGTTAGCCAGCTGTGGGCAGCTGGAGAAACTGTCAGGCAATATAGAACATGCATTTCAGAGTTCATGCTCCAAAATGGGATAAGGGACATCTTTCAGTCATCGGTCAGTGTAGTGCCATATGCCTAAGACTCCCATAACCTCTTCAGACAACCAGACTGTCTCTGTTCTTTCACAACCTAACCCTAAGAATCTCCTTACTCTGCCAAGTCTTCCTTGGTTTATCAGAAGTGATTTAACTCCTTTATTCTGGACTTCCATGTATTTTCTTAGCAGGCCTTGACTGTGACTTCCAATCACATATCATCCAGACTTCTGTATGCACCTAGTTCCCTTTGGTACATTCTTGTACAAGAAAAATTTAAATCACAATGTCAAAACTTAAATGAGGATCCTTCTGTTATAGTACAACATGATTATGATTGTCTTGGGTTAAATATATGTTTTATTAGAATTTCTGCACTGTGGTAGACACAAAAACTGGCCCTAGTGAATATGTTGTCCTACATGGCTAAAGGGACTTTATAGATGTGATTAAAAATTTTCCTGGATTATTCAGGTGGGCCCAATATGATCATAAGAGTTCTCATAAGAGGAAAGTAGAAGGGTCAGAGTCAGAGAAGGGGATATAACCACAGAAGCAGATCTAAGTAATGAAGAGCCATGAGAGAAAATGGGGGCAACTTCTAAAAGTTGGAAAAGTTCTAAATCCTACAGAAAGAATGCAGCTGTGCCAACGCCTTTATATCAGCCTGTAAGGTCCATTCAGACTTCTTCCCCCTATAACTGTAAAAGAGTAAATTTATGTTGTTTTTAAGCCACCAAGTTTGTGATAATTTGTTGTGATAGCAATGTGAAACTAATACATGTTTAAGTTTTTAAAGTTATCTATTTTCAAATTGCTTTTTGGAGATCCAGCATAATTGTGATGGTTGTCCTTTTTCAGTTGATTTCAGGAATCAACTTTGTGGATTAACTGAAACCAAATCAGGATTCCAAATCAAGGCTACTATCTGAGGTCCACTTTCATTATTGGCTGGAGGCTTCTCAGGGCATAAGCCCTCGCCTCACACATAGATAGGTAGGCTACATGGTGGGCTATTGCCCCAGGGAAATTGGTTGTTGATGGCGCCTGCAGATTGTGGTTCAGTTATTCTGGATTAACTGCTGCCTTTGATTACCTGCACATTTGTGTGTGTGTGTGTGTGTGTGTGTGTATAATCCTTCATCCAGATAATTAAAACTTCTCCTGAACATGCTGTGTTCTTGGGCACTTGAAATCCTATGGTTTTACTCCTCTGTTTCTTGGGGAGTGCCTTTAAAGCACCAATAACTTTTGTGCTTGCCAAATCACTTGGCTAATTCATGAATGTGCTTCATTCTGGATAATAAAAGCGAATGTTTCCTGAACACTTCACTATGCCAAACTCTAGGTTGAGCACTTTTTATTTTCATTGCACTTTTGAATACTCACTCTGAGCTGCGTGCACTATGGCTCCCCACATTTTACAGATGAGGACATGAGGCTTGGAGAGGTTTTGTGGCTTGTGGACACTCCCATGGCTCAGGCATGGCAGAATTCTACCCAGAAGCCAAGCAGCTCAATTCTCAAACCCACACTTCTAATCAGCAATGATATTATTACACTTTTTTGGAAATGACTTAAGTTTTTTTCCCCCAGAATTAGAGCTGAAGTTAGCATCTTGCTTTAACTGGGAGTAAAAAAGGCCAAGAGTCAGGAAGCCAAAATGACTCCTTTATTAACTATTGCATTTTTCTCCTGGACACATGCTTGTGATGCATAAGAAGGACTCTGTGTGTGGTGGTCCTATTCTCCTTTCTATTTCAGGATACTGAACTTGACCTCCACCATGCAAAGAAGTGAAGTTTAGGATTCTTTATTAATGTTTAGTGATCAAAATGGATTTAAAAGGGTTCTTGTTTGTGTCCATTGGTGTCTCAGAGAAAAGGCCTAATTAATAAAAAAGTCAGTTACTGTTTTTTTCTGCATTTCAGCTCCTGTAGTTCAGTTGTATTTCCCATCTGCTTTGCCTGTCGATGGCACTACCCTGCTGTTCAGTTGGACTGATGGCTAGGTAGCCTTCAAATACTTGAGCGTTCCTTCCTTTTATATTAGAGGCCAAAATGCCAACACAGGGCTTGATGAGGGGTGATTTTTCTCCTCATGGGACATTTGGCAATATCTGTAGACATTTTTGATTATCACAACCTGGGGGAGGATGCTACTGGTATCTAGAGTGTTGTATTAGTTTGGTGTATGCATCAAAATGCCACAAACTTGGTGGCCTAAACGAACAGAAATTTATCCTCTCACACTTCTCGAGATCAGAACTCTGAAATGGAGGTGCCAGCATGGTTGATCCCTCTAGAGGCTCTCCAAGGGAGAGTCCTTTCCATGCTTCTCTCCTAGATTCTGGTGGCTGCTGCTATGGTTGGTATTTTGTGGCTTGTGCCTACATCACTCCAGTCTCTGCCTCAGACTTTATATGGCATTCTTCTCTGTCTTTCATCTCAAATCTCCCTTTCCTTTCTCTTATAAGGACACCTGTCATTGCATTTAAGGCCTGCCCTGAACTAGGGTGAGCTCATTCTGAGATCCTTAACTTGATTACATCTGCAAAGACAAATGCTATTTCCAAATAAGGTCACATTCACAGATGCTGCAGGTTAGGACTTGGACATATCTTTGAGGGAGATGCCACTTAACTTGTTACATGGATAGAGGCCAGGGATGCTGAGAAACACTCCACAATGTCTGGGAAAGCTTTAAAACAAAGAGATTGAGAAACACTGCTCTGCCCTGAATGAAAAATTTTACTGAAGCAGAGAACACCTCTCCCCATGTCTCAAGCTCTTCAACCAGCCATGACACCCAGTGCCACCCAGTGTAGGCTATGCAGCCAGTTGCCAAGTGGCACCTCCATGTTCTGCAGTGTTAACCATCATTTCCAATATGTGGAGGCCATTTGTGCCCAGTAGGTGGCATTCAAATACCCCATATAACTAAGCCTAGCAAGCAGATAGCACAAAGGGTAAAAGATTAATGCAACTTTCAGAAATGTGTGGATTCAGGTATATAAATCTATAATTTGCATCTCTCTCTTCAATGCAACTTAAGAATCTCTGGTTTCCTAACATAGATTCTCAAGATTTCTGCCTTCTCTATCCCCCTTATGTACCTTAATGATTAGTCTATTTGGAGAAAGTGGGAATTTATACCAGGGTGTCCCAAAGTTTTCTATACAGGGCTGGATAATAAACATTATAGACTTTGTAGACCAAGAGGCAAAACTGAGAATATCATGTAGGTACTGATATAATAAGGGAGACAAATCCTGCCACACCCTGCCAGGGTGGCTGGTGCTGGGTGGTGGACTTTGTGTCCAGTTACCATTTGTTGCAGACTTTCTCAGGAGGAAGAGTGGCTGACTCTAATGTTGGAGCCTGGCTCTAGGGGTGACAGGGAGGCAGGTGGTGAGTGGGATTGGAGGAGGCTTGCTACCTTGATCAGTTTTCTCTTTACCTTTTGACACCCAGGTCCTGGTGTACCCTTCTGTACTCCTGGAGAGCTGGGCCATTTGACTTTGTAGCTGGCCAGAAGGCTCCTAGACTGCTCTGTGCTTAGCAGTTGTTAACAGCAGAGGCCTCAATGTGTAGATGTTGGCCAGAATAGCTCCGGAGTAGTAGCTACTGACCTGGGACGCAGATTCTGGAAGCAGAGGCAGAAATAGGAGTGGAGGATGGTGCCCTGGCTGGTATCCCAGCTCATAGTGCCAGTCTGTTCCTGCAATGTCTTCCAGCTACACAGACACAGGCTGTGGGCTGGATTTGGCCCACAGGCTATAGATTGCCAGACCCTGGCTTGACCATATGACAAATACTCAATTAGTCCTTTTTGGATTCACAAACTGAATGTTTCATTTGTGAAAGCATAATGTCGAAAGCAGTGAGAACCATCTGATTCCCTTTTGTTAAGCCAGTCCCTGGGTTTTTATAGATAATATGTCAAGGTTTAGAAAAATGGGCACTGCAATTTCTCTTTGCAAATTAATAGACAGGCCAAAAGGTACATGGGATATGGATGCTGAAAGAGATGTTTTTGCCTTTTGTGTTTTGAAGTTTAGCATCTTTCCTTGTAAACCCCCAATCATCTTATTGGAGTACATAATCCTGCAAAAATTCAGGCACTGGAGATCAGATCCTATTTATTCTTGTGATATATAGTTTAGTTCTGGCAAACTAATGTTTTGGGAATGATGACCAATGAATTTATCTTGTCTTTTACTATATAATCCTCAAAGACAAATATTAGAAGCAGTGTGTTTGGAAAGAATAAAAGAGCAGCACACTCCAACATCCAAAGTTTTAAATGTCATGAACTGCATGCCGCATGAGCCAACCATCTGGCATTTGCAATGTGGATGCACTGGGTAAGACAAAATGCCTTCATAGTCAAACCCCAGAAAATCGTCTGTTATCACAGTAGCGACTGCTGTCTGCCAGAAAGTATTCTTCCCTTGCTTAGAAACATCATCAAAATGCGTTCTAAAAAATGAGATGCCACTTCCCATTTTATTTCTCTGACCTCATCCTCCTTTGGATATGAACTTCCCAGTCCTCTCTAAGTAGATTAGATCAGGCTTGTGGAATGTCATCTCTTGAACTCCTTCTTTTTGATCAAAAAGCCTGGGGACCTTTATACCACCAATAATTATGCACAAATTCAGGACTTACTAAAATTCTGGCCTGCTACTCTGCCATGGAAGAGATCAACAATCACCAGAAGCAGAAGTTTAGGAAAGAGGGCAGAAATTGGTTTTGGACTTCCCAAACTGTTCCTGCTTCAGTATATAATCAGGTTTAGGGATCTGATTGGCACTGACAAGGAAAATATCTTGGAGGAGAGCTTGATATTCAGAGACATGGCCAGAGATGCTATAATGGTTCACTTGTACCCCCAGAGTCAAATCCTTGCCAATGCCCACACAGATGGAGTCTGTGTGTGAGGAGGAGGGCACTCAGAGAGGGTCTGTCTGCCTTCTGGATCCTTCTTCACTTCTGCGGCACCTGCTATTTCTCTACTGAGGTTTCTTCTAGGCCTTTGCAACATGTCTATAACTTTGGGAAGAGTAAGAATAATCAATATCCTCCTTGCAGCCTTAAATATCAGGCCCTCAGAGTCCCAATTGTGGCAGGCTCGTCTATACAAGCTCTTTCAGTGACCTTATCCAGGCTCTTGGTTTTAACCATCTCTCTCTAATCCCTGACTTGGGTCTATCTCCAAAATCAGACTGGCTCCAATAACTTCTAGTTTGCATGCAGTTGAAGGCCCCCAGAGGCACTTCAGACTCAATGTGCTGTCTACAAGAGACACCCTTTACATTCAAAGACACCAATAGATTTAGAGATTTGGTATCTCTAAGGAGATTTGGCATTTGCCAAAGATTGGCATCCCCATATATGTGGGAGGATGTGGATGAGGAGGAGTCAGTGAGGACAATTCATCTTACTGGAGCTGACTGGGAGGACAAAGAGATGGTGAGAGATGGACATAGTGGTGACTGTGATGATGGTGCTGATGGTGATCAAAGAGGAAAATGGGGTGTGTTGGTAAGTTATTTTTTGGTTGCAAATTACAAAGATCCAACTCAAACTAGCTTAAAAATGCACACACAATTTTTTAAAAAAAGAAAAAGAGAGATTTTATACTTTTACTGGCTCAAGGAACTAGGAAGTTGTTTCAGGAGTAGTAGGATCCAGGTATTCCAATGGTGCCATCTGTTATAGACCGAGTTCCTTCATAAAGGAGACCGAAGGTAACAGCTTGTATGTAGGTAGTTTATTGGGGAGCAGCATTGAAAGGGGATGCAGGAAAGCTGAGAAAGATGCAAATGAGTTAGCTGACACTGTGAGAAACCAGAGCTTAATGCTATGGTCTCTTCAGGGGAGCTTTGTAGAATACATTTCAGGATGGACCTTCTAGGAGACATAAGGGGAAGCATTTAATTATCAGTACTGTGCCCCACTTATCAAGTGTGGCCCCATGTGTGTTGATGCCCCCCACATTTACAGGTTGCACATTTGAATGCTGAACAGGTTCCACAGGCATCTCACAAGAGGGTAGCCTTAGGGTAGAAAGTGAATTCATTGCAGTCTCAGAGAAGTCTAAGGTGGAGAACATTGCCAGGTTGCACCTGCAGAAGGCCCATCAAAGCCAGCATGGAAGTGATCTCAGCAGCAGTGGGTGGACTAAGGGAAGAGGCCAAGAGGATTTGAAGTAGACCATAAAGCTTTCTTATCCACCATCAATGTATCTCATCTCCCTGGCTCTTGCTCCATCTCGGACTCTGCTTGCCTCTGCCTGACTCTCAGACAGTGTTATCCATGTGGTGAGAAGACATCCCCAAGAAGCTCCAAACTTATGTGGTACTTAGAGTTCATCATTGCAGAGAAAGAGACAGACCTGGTCAGCCCATGTTTAATGTTCAAAACAGATTCTGATTCTACTTGGAGCATGTGCACAACACTGTAGGGGGGAGTCTAGGAAAGCAAAAGGCTTTTAGTCTGTCCTGCTTGGATCACTTGGAGTTGGGGATGGGCTATTTCCCAATGGAAGGTGTCTGGTTGTGGTGCATGGAGTATTGCTTGGATCCACCTTCAAGATTAAAGAGAAAACTTGATGCCAATAAATTGCCTCAGCTTTAGAGCCAGAGTCATAATCTCCTTAGGGCAATTCCTGGCCAAGGACCAAATGAGGCAATGCTAAAAAGGCCCTGGTTATTTGTGCCCAAAATAAGACTCCTCTAAGGGAAATCTTTGTTCTGGCACTTCCAGAACATGGGTTGATGGAAAAATGACCAGATCAATGTTACAGTCTGGAATCTTCCCGTGCCAAATCCTGCTTCCTCCCTTTTCTTTCTCAGGTGTTATCCTCCAATCAACCTGTTGCATTCATAACCTATCTTAGTGCCTGCTTCCTGTTGAATCCAGTTGACACATAGGAAAATAAATAAGTAGCTGATGTTCTCAGAGGACTTAAAAGATGAAGGAAGGGAGGAGGAAGGAGGAAAATACTAACTATGCTTTGGAGAAAAGCACAGCTGCAGCCAGGCCTGCCTGTCCTCATGGTGGCTTTGACTCTATGTAGACCCTCTTGTAGAACTACATGAATTCCAGAGATGACCTCCCACACCAGTTGCCTTTTTCCAAGTGGCATGCCAGGGAAGGCGCTGAGGGTCCTTTGTGCATGGGTTGGCCTTCCTAAACTGGAAATCCAGGGACCAAGGAAATGCAAGGAACCATGTTATTAACCTAGACTTGCATGTTCTCATTTTTCTGAGACTACTCTGTCTAATGTGTCTCCAAACACCTGGTTTGTGCATCATTGGCCTTAGGTTTACAAATTGGGAGTGAATTTTATGAGAAGGTGGCACATAAAATTATGGGTCTATAAATGGCCATCGTAAGCCAGCCAAGTAAAAGGCATAAATTCCAAGTCATGTGGTATGATGAAACAGAGCTGAAATTGCTATTATTTTCACTGGCAGGCAAACAAAAATGAACAAAATCCTTATTCTTCGGAGTGTAGAGGAATCTAAATGCATTCTCATTGTGCCCTACATGCAGGGGAGCAACATAGAAGTTATAGTTCATCAATCTGACCTTCTAATCTTGGATTTGATATGAATACCAATAATAATAGTTTTCTGTGGTGTCTTCATCCTGGAAACCCAATGTGCATCCCTCATTACTAGCAGTGTCATAAAGCTTTTTCTGTGTCACTAAGGGGCAAATTCAAGATAACACTATTTCAATCATGTTTGTAGCTGGTTAAATTTAGCAAGCACAAGATAATACAATTGGTACCTTGTCATTTCAAGAATTGAGCTCTTTTTATAGCCATCTTGTTAAATCACAAACTTCAAGAAAGGTGTGTGACTTTAGCTAGTAAAATAACTGTACTGATCTTGTAAGAATCCAAAATTACATGGGCATCATCTTAGACAGTTAGGTCTAGAAAGTGAGAGCAAACTATTCCATTATGTTACATTTTTTTTTAAAGAAGGGCCATTTTTTTTTTCTTTAGAAATAGAAATAATTTCCACATGCCTGTGAGGGAGTGTGGGGACATCCAGGGCAGAAGTATTTCCTGGTGCAGTTAGAGAGCTGCAAGAACTGACATGACATAGTAGGATAATAGTGTAGGCACTGCAGGGCTGTTGCCAGGTTTGGAGTTTACTAGAACAGACAGCCAGTTTTATAAAAGTCACAGAGTATGTTTAGTTCTTTGATCATTTCCTGGATTTTTGGTTCTCATGTGGAGTTCTTAGAAACTGACTCAAACTAGTCAAACACCTAAAAGACTGAGGAATAACCCAGAATACAAATACAAGCACTAACTTTGTGCAGGGCTATAGTATTGTGTCAGCCACCCTGAAACTTTCTGTCCTGATCTCCAGACATTGGGTAGGTTGTGTAGAAATGGGAAGACTTGGATGGATAGCAGAAAATTAGAACTGAGACTGGTGGATGGGTCTACACCCGGGTCAGGATTACTCTGATAAATCACACAGCTTGAAGGAATAAGAGTACAGTACTTGTATTTATCAGATTCAGTGCCTGCCTCTCTCCTAGATAATCATCAACGTATTTTGCTTCTGTTATATGCATTTTCAGTGTATAGGTAGATCATCATCAAAAAGCCTGTTATGGGGAAGAATGTAACAAAATGGGATAATTTACAATCACTTCCTTTTTTAAAAAAACTATTTGTTTGTGTAGTTGTAGATGGATAGTATGCCTATATTGTATCTGTTAATTTTTTTATGTGGTGCTAAGGATTGAACCCAGTGCCTCACACGTGCTAGGCAAGCACTCTGCCACCAAGCTATAACTGCAGCCCCAATTTACAATCACTTTCTAGACCTGCCTCTCTGAGATAATGCTGGTGTAATTCTGGATCTTGCAAAGATCAGGGATGACTTCCTCTTCTTGATGGTACTAATTATTTCATTGACTTTTGAAAGTTTTGGGATGGACATTTCAGAATATCAAGAGACAGGCATACCCCAAAATTGTTTTTCTAGTTTCTTTTATTATCTTCATAATGGCATCAAGTAATAATCACATATTAACTACAGTAGGTTTTTAAAAATCCTCTATTGGTGATATTTCCCCCTACTTTTCAAATGTTGAAGCTGGGAGTGCCCATTTTAATATGGAGGGCTGGACAAATGGAGGCATGCCTACATTCAAGCTTGACCATTATGACCTAGTCACTTTTGTTTCACCTGAGGCAAAAATAATGTGAATTGGTGATATCAGCTAATGATATTACTTTTCTCATTGGAATTGAAAAAGGGCAGGCTTCCTCCCCCCTTTCTCTAATAACATCATTAAGATAGCAAGTCATAATTTTGAAAAAAAAAAAAAAGCTTTATCTCAGTAATTTTACACTTTTATTTCCAGTTCTCTTCTTTTTTTGCAGCATGTATAAATTATACTTTGGTTAAAATCAGAGTCTTGTAACACCTTACAACAATGACAGAAGTATCAGTTTAAGAATCCCTTCTTGAGCCAGGCACAGTAGCACATACCTATAATCCCAGTGGCTCAGGAGGCTGAGGCAGGAGGATCCTGAGCTCAAAGCCAGCTGCAGCAACTTAGTGAGGCACTAAGCAACTCAGTGGGACCCTGTTTCTAAATAAAATACAAAAATGGGCTGGTATGTGGCTAGGTAGTTAAGTGCTCCTGAGTTCAATCTCCAATACCAAAACAAACAAATAAAACAAAACAAAAGAATCTCTTCTTTCCCAGGAGAAAGAAAGATGGATGCACTGCTAGCCTCCATGCCTGTTAATCTCTAGGTCAGCCAATGATTTTCCAGAGCAGCGCTGTGTTCATAATTTTGGATATATACCAAACTCTTTCATTACCCACTTACATGCACATCCTTCTGACTTCTTAATTTCATCCATGATATATGAATGTTGCTTATTTAGCTTTTGTGAATAATCTTATTTTGCTTATAAGGCAAAGATTGTTCATATTCATTAAACTTACTCTATGATCCCCTATATTTCCAATTTCCTTTGCAGTTAATTGTAGGCCATCTGACCACTTCTAGTGAATGAATTTTGTGTGGAAATATATTACTTATGGGGCACAGAAGTCAAGAACTGGTGTGCCTCTTCCATTCTTCTCCTTGCCAACCATGATAACCTGATAATTAATCTATTAAGATGCCAGCATCAACAGATAGAAGAAACTTGGATTCCTGAGTCACCAGTTGGAGATGAACTCTGGCCAACTTGCATTGAACTTCATATAAGTAAGAAGTAAGAGAAGTAAAAGATTTTTGTTACTGCAGCATAGCTAATGCTATACTCAGTATTCTTATTTCCATGTCCTTGTAAAATATAGTGTTTTCTCTATGAACTAATCACAAATATATTATAGATATGGAGATTCCAGACTCATATATGTGAAATATAAGAATAGTGGAGAAATATTCTGGTTAGCCTCTTTTAGGACTTAAGTTTTCTGCTCAAATAACATCCTCTTCCAAACTACCCAGGATTTCAGAAGTTATGTAGTTTGCCAGTGTAGAACTGAGGAACAATCTCTTTTCAGAACTATTATTACAAGATGGGTCAGAGCTATCCTGAATGTAATGTTGAGGAGTATCTTCAGTGGGGTGGGAATGGAGAGATCTATGGAAAATTGTGCATTTGCAAAAGTTTTCTGTATTCTTATCCTTCATCTTCTGGCATTCATTCTTTAGGTCCTGGCGTAGACTTGATTTTGTAACAAGCAGACTGTGTATACACACAAAAATCATTCCGTGGGAAAGGAAATATATTTTGAAAATAAAAATAAAAATATTATCAAGGGAAAAATCAGAAATTTGTTCAACTTCCTTACCTATTGTTTGTTTGTTCTTAGCTCAGTTTTTTAAAAATTTAGATAGACATTGGGAAAGGGGGCTGGATGTGGATAAAGTTTATGTCATATCTTTCAGAGATTAGGGCATCTAGATTTCTTCACAGAACTCTACTTAGACATTTTTTTTCAAAATTATATCTTGTATCCAATTCCTCCCAAATGGTTTGCTAGCAGGCATTAAATAAAAATTAAGCCTTTTTTTGATAATGAGGGTGTTTATGTTTTAGAAAGATTGGGATGGGTGAGTAAGAATTTGTGGCAGAATTGAACTAATTGATCCCCAAACCATTTTGCTTTCTTTCTAGGGCATACAGCTTGACTACATTTCCCAAATCTCCTTACAGTTAGGTAGGGAACGTGTTGTATACTACCTCCAGGCCTGGCTCATCAACAGTCTCCATGTGATTCTTCATATTTTTTCTTTTCCTTTGTTATGATTTAGATGTGGTACCCCCCAAAAGCTCACATGTGAGACAGTGCACAATCTGGGGGAGAAATGATTGGGTTAAGCCTTAACCTAATCAGCAAACTGATCCCTAATGGGATTAACTGAGTGATAACTGGAGGCAGGTGGAGTGTGGCTGGAGGAGGTGGTTTATTGTGAGTGTGATTATGGGGTATATATTTTGTATCTGGAGAATGGACTCTCTCTCTCTCTCTCTCTCTCTCCTTTCTGATCACCATGTGAGCTGCTTCTCTCTGCCACATTCTTCTGCCATGATGTTCAGTCTTGCTTGGGGCCCCTGGGGAAAGGAGCTGGACTTCTATGGAAGACCTCTGAAACCATGAGCCCTCAAATAAACTTTTCATCCTCTACAGTTTTTCTGGTCGGGTCTTTTAGTCATAGTAGAGAAAAAGATGACTAAAACATCCCTTGAGGCATGCCCTAATGTAGAGCATCTAGTGGAGTAGGCCACGTAGATGGTAGAGGCCTGTATCCTTGAATGACTGTGTAGAGCAGAGCCTACCTGATGGGCTGCATTGAACTGTAATATGTAAGAGAAGTAAACCTTTAATGTGTGAGACAACTAAGATTTGGGAGTCGTTTGCTGCATTAGTTAACCTGCCCTAACTAATACAGACTTCTTAGTCAATCATAGTTTATTATTTAAGAAATGTGCACTGTATGAAGCAGTTCCTTAGGTGTCCTAAACACCTTTGTTAAAGCACAAGGGTTTGAGGGTTACATGAAGGATTAATACATTTGTGAAATATTGCCAGTTATATCCTTCCAAAAGTAATATTGATGATTTCCTCCTTTCTGACAACATGGTAACAAACTTTTACCTCTGTCATGTAATATATCACAGAGTTTTGAAATTATTAGTGGTGTAATTTGACAACCTTAGTCAAAGAGGGGAATTTATTTCACATTAGGAAGTGGGGTTGATAGCCTTCAAAGATGATTACCATCATTTCCTATGTTCCATGTTCCACTCATCAAAGGGTAAAGTCTATTTTTTTCTTCCCAGATGTTTGGATTGGGCTTGTGACTTGCTTTGACTAATAGATGGTAGAGAATATGACATTCTAAAGCCCAAGAACCATATGCAGAGACCATGTGAAGAAGCAATGAGGCACCAGATGTGAGTAAAGCTTCTTGAACCTTCTTATCCAGCCCAGATGCTAGCTGACTACAGCTAGTAAGGTGACTTCAGTAAATGCAAAATGGATCAGAAGAATCATCGAGCTGAATCAACTCAGAATCATGAAAAAAATTTATTTAAGTCATTAAGTTTTGGAGTAGTTTGTTACATAGCAATAGGTAACTGAAACCAGAGGGATTCTAGGTGTGAAGTTCTGACTGGTTAAGGAAAAGAATTGTAAAGTTTTGCTTAAGATTATTTATTGTTGTTTTAAATCATGAAGGTAGACACATGACTTTCAAAGAGGTCTGAGAAAAGCCATTATTCTCAGGGGCATACCGTGGCCACTTTGTCATATTCACACTTGGGCCTTGATAAATATTTGTTTTAACTAAATTTTTTTGAATGAAAGTAAGTATTCACTTACTTCTCTGTTCTTTATTTTAGGTCATGAGCTTTTTTATAGGAGCAATCATGCATTTCCTGGGCATATAAGAGTACTTCAATAAGGTAGCAGGCTTTAAAG